AGGTTTGTGGTAAGTAGCTTACCCTCTAGAGAAGCTGGTTTGTTGAAAAAAGAAAGCTTACCCCTCTAGAAAAGCTGGTTTGCGGTAAGAAGCGTACTCTCTAATATAACTGGTTTGGGTAAGAAGCTTACCCCTCTTGTATAGCTGGTTTGTGGTAAGTACACAACCCCCTCTAGCGGACCAGGTTTGTGGTAAGAAGCTTACCCTCTAGTACAGCTGGGTTGTTGAAAAAAGCTTACCCCACCACAATAGCTGGTTTGCGGTAAGTAGCTTACCCCCTAGTATTGTTGGTTTGTGGTTACATGTAGTAGCTTACTCTTGTGTAAGAAACTAACCCTTCTAGTATAGCTGGTTTACGGTACATTGTAAGAAGCTTACCCCTCTATTGTAATAGGTTTCTGGTAAGAAGATTACCCCAATTGTAAAGCTGGTTTGCGGTAAGGAGGTTACTCCTCTATTACAGCTGGTTTACGGTACGAAGCTTACCCCTTTAGTATAGCTGGTTTGTGGTAAGAAGCTTAACCCTCTATTTTTTCTGGTTTGTTGAAAAAAGCAAATCCCTCTAGTATAGCTGGTTTGCGAAAGAAATTTACCCTCTAGTATAGCCGGTTTACGGTAAGAATCTTACCCCTCTAGTATAGCTGGTTTGCAGTAAGTAGATTACCCTCTAATTTAGCTGGTTTGTGGTAAGTACACTTGTCCCTCTAGAATAGCTGGTTTGTGTAAGAATCTTACCCCTCTAGTATAGCTGGTTTACGGTAAGAATCTTACCCCTCTAGTATAGCTGGTTAGCGATTAGAATCTTACCCCTCGAGTATGGCTGGTTTGTGTAAGAAATAACCCCTCTAGTATAGCTGGTTTACGAAAAGAAGCTTACCCCTCTTATAAAGCTGGTTTGCAGTGAGAAGCTTAACCTTCTAGTTGAGCTGGCTTGGGGTAAGAAATTTACCACTTTAGAGTAGCTTGTTTACGGTACGAAGCTTACCCCACTAGTAAAGCTTGTTTGCGGAAAGTAGCTTACCCCTCTAGTTCAGCTTGTTTGCGGTGAGTAGCTTACCCCTCTAGTTCAGCTGGTTTGTGGTTAGTAGCTTACCACTCTAGTATAGCTGGTTTACGGTGATAATCTTACCCTATAATATAGCTGGTTTGCGTTAAGATCCTTGTCCCTGTAGTTAAGCTGGTTTGTGGTGAAAAGCTTACCCTCTGTTAAAGCTAGTTTGAGATAAGAAGCTTTAAGGTAAGATGCATACCAATCTAGTAAAGCTGGTTTGCGGTAAGAAGCGTTCCCCTCTAATAAAGCTGGTTTGAAGTAAGAAGAGTTTCCCTCTAATAAAGCAGGTTTGCGGTAAGAAGCGTCCCCCTCTAATAAAGCTGGTTTGAAGTAAGAAGCGTTCCCCTCTAATAAAGCTTGTTTGCGGTAAGAAGCGTTCCCCTCTAATAAAGCAGGTTTGCGGTAAGAAGCGTTCCCCTCTAGTAAAGCTTGTTTGCGGTAAGAAGCGTTCCCCTCTAATAAAGCTGGTTTGTGGTAAGAAGCCTTCCCCTCTAATAAAGCTCGTTTGTGGTAAGAAGCGTTTCCATCTAGTAAAGCTGGTTTGCGGTAAGAAGCGTTTCCCTCTTATAAAGTTGGTTTGCGGTAAGAAGCGTTCCCCTCTTATAAAGCTGGTTTGTTAGAAGCTTGTAGCTGCTTTGTGATATATAGCTTACCCCTCTACTATAGCTGGTTTACGTTAATAATCTTACCCCTCTGATATAGCTAGATTGCAATAAGAAGCTTATCCCTCTAGTTTAGCTGGTTTGCAGTAAGTAGCGTACCCCTCTAGTTTAGCTGGTTTGCGGCAAGAATCTTACCCCTCTAGTATAGCTGGTTTGCGGTAAGAAGCTTACCCCTCTAGTTAAGCTGATGTACGATAAGAAGCATACCCGTCTAGTAAAGATGGTTTGCGTGAAAACCTAACCCATCTTGTATAGCTTGTTTGCAGTAAGTAGCGTTCCCTTCTTGTAAATCTGGTTTGTTGTTAGTAGCTTTCCCCTCTAGTTAAGCTGGTTAAGGGTAAGAAGCATACCCCTCTAGCATAGCTAGTTTGTGGTAAGTAACTTATACTTCTAGTATAGCTGGTTAACGGTAAGTAACTTACCCTTCTAGTATAGCTGGTTTGTGGTAAGTAACTTACCCCTCCTCTGGTATATCCTCTGGTTTAGCTGGTTTGTGGTAAATAACTTACCGTTCTGGTATAGTTGGTTTCTGGTAAGTAACTTACCCCTCTGGTATAGTTGGTTTGTGGTAAGTAACTTACCCCTCTGGTATAGCTGGTTTGTGGTAAGTAACTTACCCCTCTGGTATAGCTGGTTTGTAGTAAGTAACTTACCCCTCTGGTATAGCTGGTTTGTGGTAAGTAACTTACTGGTAAAAGATAATGAATAAATGAATCAGAATCCCCCCCCCATCCCCCCACCACACACACACACAAACACACATACTGTACACAAATTTACAATTCGAACAAAAACTTCGAATTATAACCCTTTCGTGCTACTCTGACAACACTCACCATATAAGTTAATGAATTATAATTATGTATAGTCATTGATACGTTACATAAAATAAAGTAATAAAACCTTACACACTGTCACACTAAACACTGACGCGATACCGTACGTGTCGGAAGGAAGATACACGGTAACAACAGCCTTGAAAAGTTACAGAAACACATCCTTTCCGATTTCGCCCAAATTTTCTATTAAAGAATTGTCATAGCATACTCATCTAACCTTCCTACAGTGTATGAAATAATAGATATGAGGAGAAGTGTCAATACAGTGATGCGAGTTCCTGTTTAAATGTTTTATCAAAGAAGCCATATATGACATGATTGATGATGCTGTTAATAATATACATGGTGTAGAGAAATCGGTATCCGCCATAGCCTGAGGTATCCAGTGTCAACCAGAACATCTCATTTCTGGACTCAAACACCATCATAATAAGCGTTGGAATGTAACAGATGACAAAGACTGCGGTAATAAACGCAAACATTTTTGATAGTCGATAGCCTGGGATGCTTTTCGACTAGACAGTGTCCTATGAGTGAGTTTTATCCCGTCTTCGGAGACTGATCCCGAGTAGGCAGTCGAGTTGTCTGATGAGATCACGGAGGACGATGCTGTTGAAACTGATGTTTGGATCTGTCTCTTTTTATTAAGTTTAATCCTCTTAAAGACAGCTCTTCCAATCAGAGAATAAAGTACTATCAGACTGACCAGTACAACTAGGCACACCAGCATTATAACAGCTTTGTAGGCTACAGCGACAGCCTTGGACCAAGGACCACGAATGTTAGCACAACGTGTTCCCATGATGTTGTGTTCCGGGTGTCTTACAGGAGAGGTTCCGTAGGAAACCAGTGCTGGTAGTGATACAAGCGGGTATGCACCAATTACGATTACTAAACTCAGTTTGTCCATAGTATGGATCAAAGTGGCCATATAGTAAGAATAATTGCACTCACTATAATTATGATGTATATTGGTGAAACGGAGATAATTCTGATGGTGTTTGTGTATATTTCAAAGTAACAGGAAACAACAATTGATTGACATGCGATGATTGTGTATAGCAATATATAGATAGCTTCAATTGGATTTTCGAATTCTAGGAAAATACTGAAAACCTATTCCTCAGCTCCAGTTTAAACTAATACTACTTAGAGCGGATTGGTACGATGGTCGAGGCGGAAGAACTTCACCCCGGCGTCGATTATTTAACGTACTAGTTTATTTAAGCCAAAATGTCCAATCTCACTTGGCGGGATATATGTGTTACGTACAATAAAGCAGTTTCAAAATATTTTACGATACATGTATATTGTAACTATATCCTATATATATATATTTATAAATTTTTAAGTGACTTTTCAATTGTATTCTTTTTAGAATCATTAAACAATGTAGCTAGATATTTTAAGAAAACATGTACTATTGTTGAAATGTGTATTCTTCAAAATATTTGTTTAACATGTCAATTTAACACGATGAAAAATATCAGATAACTTAGGATCAAGTAACATTCATTGATTTAATTTTGTCTTTTTCTGCACATCACTAGTAATACTAAGGTTGGGAGAACATTATTGTAAGTTAAAATGTATAAATAGAGTTCGAGAGAATTATTTGTCTGGTAATACCATTAATTCTGATATTAATCCTATGATAGAAAGCATTAACATTAATCATGTTATGTATTTCATAACATTTCAATGAGTAAACACAAGGATTAGAAAGCAGACTAGGCTTTTTATCAGTTAAGTTTCACAACGGCTATAATGAAGTTATATATATGTATATTAATTTACATGTGCAAAACACAAAATCGTTATATCATCAGCTAATATCAATAAAATAAATTCAGTGACGTATGTATATTAGTATTTAGTACAGGTAATAGTTAACATATATACTTTTTTATTTGATTAGTTTTCGTTGTTCTTGTCCCCTCTACACATGCACTGTAATAAAATCATGCTATCGCAATCACAACGACCAAACCCAAATATTTAAAATGATTCGATTCAAGTAGCTAGTGTAACGCATAGCCGAATACACAAATCGAATTCTAGCTCCACCCAATACCTATATCTATATTTCAAGGTCGGATTTGGTCAAGTGAGTAGCATTTCAGCCTTTTACGTAGTATGGGTGAGATGTCGCTATACCAATGCTGAATAATATTTATTGTCAAGTATTACACCATGCATATGAATAATAGACACTTTGTATCAAGCAAAATCCACTTGAAACATTTTCTGCCTAATAAATTCATTCTATTTTTATTTTCATTATTTGTTTTGGATCACCTCTTATTACTTTTGACTTCTGTTCTTTTTCCCCACCAAAAACGATATGCTTAAGGAGATGATCTGTCTGCAAATATTATACATTTTATCATTGACATTTGTTTTGGAGAATATACTTAAGTGTAAAGCAACTAAAAAGAGAAATCAAAGAACAAACCATCATTATTTTACCATAATTACATACAATTTCATTATTACTATACATGGAAAATGTTTATCAATCCGAATACACCACACACTCACACATTATGATACAAATAATTCTTAAATGTAGCCAATATCGTAATTCAAACACAAAATCGATAAAACTGTGAACAACGGACAAAATTATTTGGGAACGTTTCCAAAATACAAGAAGAATAAAAGCATGTGTTTCGCATGGTAAGCGCCTTCTGCTGCTTCCTCCATGACACCCGCAATTTAAGGCAATAAATGCAATAAAGCCAATGATATATTACACAAAATAAAGTAATAAAACATTACAATGTCACATTGTCACACTGACGCGATACATAAAAACGAAGTAAAGCCATTCACACGACCAGACAGGCACAATTTTTGAAATAAGGCAATACCACATTATACGCAGCCACAGTAAAAATAAGTGTTGGAGTGACAAAAAGTAACAAACAGCCTCATACTTGCCATGAAATGTTATAGAACCATATCCTTCCTTGATTTTGTTTATCTAGGTAATGTCAGCGAGTAACCCTTTTACATGACCAACAGTCCATTAACAATATGAATGCAAATTTCAAATTAATAATACATATGAGGACTTTCAACACAGTGATGCGAGTTCCTGTCTAAATGTTTTATCAAAGAAGCCATATATGACAGGATTGATGATGCTGTTAATAATATACATGGTGTAGAGAAATCGGTATGCGCCATAGCCTGAGGTATCCAGTGTCAACCAGAACATCTCATTCTTGGACTCAAACACCATCATAGCTAGCTTTGGGATGAAACAGAGGACAAAGACTGCGGTAATAAGCATAAACATCATTGATAGTCGATACCCTGGGATGTTCTTCTTCCTTGGAGTTACGTTTGGAATTGTCCTTGAAGTGAGTTTTCTCTCATCTTCGGTGACGGATTCCGCATAAGCAGTCGAGTTGTCTGATGAGATTACGGAGGACGATACTGTTGGAACTGATGTTTGGATCTGTCTCTTTTTATTAAGTTTAATCCTCTTAAAGACGGCTCTTCCAATCAGAGAATAAAGTACTATTAGGCTGACCAGTACACCAAGGCACACCAGCAATATAACACCTTTGTAGGCTACAGCGACAGCCTTGGACCAAGGACCACGAATGTTAGCACAACGTGTTCCCATGATGTTGTGTTCCGGATGTTTTACAGGAGAGGTTCCGTAGAAAACGAGTGCTGGTAGTGATAAAAGAATCGATGCAGCAATGCAACCTATTAAACTCAGTTTTTTCCTTTTGAGGGACATCTGTGCTTGAAATGGTCGACATATTTTCTGATATCGATGAACCGCTATTACGAGAAGTGTGAATATTGAACACCCTGTTGTAAATAAACTAAACAACCAGAATGCCTTACAAGCCCCGCCGTTTGTAAAGGTCACAGCATACTGATTTACAGCAATGCCGAATGTCGAACACACCACACAAGCTACCAGGTCGATAACAGCAAGGTATGGAATAAAGAATCGCTCTTCACTTTTGTTCCGAAAACGTAGAGTATACACAATAATAACTAGTGAGTTACCGACTACACCAATTACAATGTACAACACCAGAAATAAGGTGTCGGACCACAGCGCGTGAACGAATTCCGAATTCCATTGGTCAAGGATAGTTTGATTTTCAAACTGAAACATTGTAATTGTCGAATTCTCCATGGTGTGGATTGAAGTGATCAGATATTAACGAAAACTAGGCTTACATAGGGATGTGTATTGGAGACACGGAAATACGTCTTGTGATAGTTTGTATAAAGATGAATCAGTGTCTTCTTACAGGAAATAACCACTGAATGATGACATACATACATACATATGCAACGAATCAGAAAGCACGAGTTAATTGCGCGGACGAATTTATTCACGAGTGCGCGGAGCGCACGAGAGAATATATACGTCCGCGCAATAAATGAGCTTTCTGATTCGTTATAAAAACACAAGTGTGTGGTCTTGCTTTTATCACATACCTTCCGTATTTGGTAAAGATCGATACAAAGATTTTATAAACTTTGACATTTTTTGCAAATACCGGGAACTTTTCAGTTCGCCATAACAAGGGAATTCCCATAAATAGTAGTTCCGGCTAGTAGGTAAATACAACATTCCGTATTGCACATGTACAATACAGAACGTTGTATTTCATAATATGAAAATTGCTTATGTTACTATAACAAGATTCAAGGTATGTGATAAAAATATGGATGTAAGTTTATATGACATACGATTAAGTGTCGCTTGTAAGTATGTATACATGTATGTGTATACACGTGACCACTGTTATGCTACATTTTGTATGTTGATATTTTCTATACACGCAATTACCTCAAAAGTTGCCTCCTCTACATTCTAATGCGTTTCTTTGGAGGAGGCCCATAGTGGTACATGTCGCCCTTCTTTCATTGTAGTCTGACATTTATTATATGTTCTAATTCATTTGAGATGTAATAAGGCATTCGATTGGTCAATAGAAATAATTTGCAACAGTAAATCCACGATATACCGTCCGCAAAATTCTCATTTGCATAGGAAGCCCGGATGGCAATTGTTTAAGGCGTCGATGACCCCGACTGACCCTGACACGTCATGAAATTAGTTAGTCATGACGTCACGAACAATATAGCGCTACCCCAAAAGGTCAACGTAATTCCGCCTCACTTTGAATATTTCTGACGTCACCAATCCACAGCTGAGTGACCCAGAATTTGAAGAAAACAATCAAAAATATCTTTAAATCGTCGTTTCTTTCGTTGGTTTCCCCGCGTCGCCAGTAAACCTCCATTTGCGACAATATAATCACGATATACCGCCGCAAATTTCAAAATACTGTAGGTTATCCCCTAGTTAAACGGTAACACCTCATTATTTATTATAACATGATATCAATTCAGACTTAAAAGTTTGATTTCTTTGAGTAATTTAATAATGCATATAGATATTTCAGAACATGCTTTAGTGATGTGTTATTCAAATGTGAAAATTTAGAAGCTTAATTCGCAGAATTATACCGATCAGATGATTCATTATCAAGTAATATTCATTGATACGAAATTGATGGAAAACCTATGTCATGGCCTATATGGATATTCCCACGGGACTTACCAAATATTTACTAAATATCGAACTTGACTGTATATCGGATGTTATCTTTTTCAAAGTTATACCGAGTTTTCCGTGATATATAATAAGAATACTATGATGCAGTTTTAATAAATGAACAAGGTTTTAATAAAATTTCAAGTTTAATTGCAATGCATGATTTATTCACAAACCAAGGGACTAAGTGATCAATTATAAGATTATTATAAAAGTTCATACAATACTAAAGGGGATGAAATAATCATGTCCAGATACTGTAATCAGATATTACAAAAGGCAACACTAATCATGTCCAGATACTGTAATCAGAGATTACAAAAAGCAACATTAATCATGTCCAGATACTGTAATCAGAGATTACAAAAAGCAACACTAATCATGTCCAGATACTGTAATCAGAGATTACAAATAGCAACACTAATCATGTCCAGATACTGTAATCAGAGATTACAAATAGCAACACTAATCATGTCCAGATACTGTAATCAGAGATTACAAATAGCAACACTAATCATGTCCAGATACTGTAATCAGAGATTACAAATAGCAACACTAATCATGTCCAGATACTGTAATCAGAGATTACAAATAGCAACACTAATCATGTCCAGATACTGTAATCAGAGATTACAAATAGCAACACTAATCATGTCCAGATACTGTAATCAGAGATTACAAATAGCAACACTAATCATGTCCAGATACTGTAATCAGAGATTACAAATAGCAACACTAATCATGTCCAGATACTGTAATCAGAGATTACAAATAGCAACACTAATCATGTCCAGATACTGTAATCAGATATTACAAAAAGCAACACTAATCATGTCCAGATACTGTAATAAGAGATTACAAATAGCAAAACTAATCATGTCCAGTTACTGTAATCAGATACTACCAATAGCAACACTAATCATGTCCAGATACTATAATCAAAGATTACAAAAAGCAACACTAATCATGTCCACATACTGTAATCAGAGATAACAAAAAGCAACACTAATCATGTCCAGATACTGTAATAGGAGATTACAAAAAGCAACACTAATCATGTCCAGATACTGTAATCAGAGATTACAAAAAGTAACACTAATCATGTCCAGATACTGTAATCAGATATTACAAATAGCAACACTAATCATGTCCAGATACCGTAATCAGAGATTACAAAAAGTAACACTAATCATGTCCAGATACTGTAATCAGATATTACAAATAGCAACACTAATCATGTTTAGATACTGTAATCAGAGATTACAAAAGGCAACACTAATCATGTCCAGAATCTGTAATCAGAGATTACAAAAGGCAACACTAATCATGTCCAGATACTGTAATAAGATATTACAAATAGCAACACTAATCATGTCCAGATACCGTAATCAGAGATTACAAAAAGTAACACTAATCATGTCCAGATACTGTAATCAGATATTACAAATAGCAACACTAATCATGTTTAGATACTGTAATCAGAGATTACAAAAGGCAACACTAATCATGTCCAGAATCTGTAATCAGAGATTACAAAAGGCAACACTAATCATGTCCAGATACTGTTATCAGATACTACCAATAGCAACACTAATCATGTACAGATACTGTAATCAAAGATTACAAATAGCAACACTAATCATGTCCAGATATTGTAATCAGAGATTACAAATAGCAACACTAATCATGTCCGGATACTGTAATCAGAGATTACAAATAGCAACACTTATCATGTCCAGATACTGTAATCAGAGATTACAAATAGCAACACTTATCATGTCCAGATACTGTAATCAGAGATTACAAAAAACAACACTAATCATGTCCAGATACTGTTATCAGAAACTACCAATAGCAACACTAATCATGTCCAGATACTGCAATTAGAGATTACAAATAGCAACACTAATCATGTCCAGGTACTGTAATCAGAGATTACAAAAAGCAACACTAATTATGTCCAGATACGGTAATAAGAGATTACAACTAATCATGTCCAGATACTGTAATAAGATACTACCAATAGCAACACTAATCATGTCCAGATACTGCAATTAGAGATTACAAATAGCAACACTAATCATGTCCAGATGCTGTAATCAGAGATTACAAAAAGCAACACTAATCTCGTCCAGATACTGTAATCAGATACTGCCAATAGCACCACTAATCATGTCCAGATACTGTAATCAGAGATTACAAAAAACAACACTAATCATGTCCAGATACTGTTATCAGATACTACCAATAGCAACACTAATCATGCCCAGATACTGTAATAAGAGATTACAAATAGCAAAACTAATCATGTCCAGTTACTGTAATCAGATACTACCAATAGCAACACTAATCGTGTCCAGATACTGTAATCAGATACTACCAATAGCAACACTAATCGTGTCCAGATACTGTAATCAGATACTACCAATAGCAACACTAATCGTGTCCAGATACTGTAATCAGATACTACCAATAGCAACACTAATCGTGTCCAGATACTGTAATCAGAGATTACAAAAAGTAACACTAATCATGTCCAGATACTGTAATCAGATATTACAAATAGCAACACTAATCATGTTTAGATACTGTAATCAGAGATTACAAAAGGCAACACTAATCATGTCCAGATACTGTTATCAGATACTACCAATAGCAACACTAATCATGTCCAGATACTGTAATAAGAGATTACAAATAGCAACGCTAATCATGTCCAGATACTGTAATCAGAGATTACAAAAGGCAACACTAATTATGTCCAGATACGGTAATAAGAGATTACAATTAGCAACACTTATCATGTCCAGATACTGTAATCAGAGATTACAAATAGCAACACTAATCATGTTCAGATTCTGTAAACAGAGATTACAAATAGCAACACTTATCATGTCCAGATACTGTAATCATAGATTACAAATAGCAACACTAATTATGTCCAGATACGGAAATAAGAGATTACAATTAGCAACACTTATCATGTCCATATACTGTAATCAGAGATTACAAAAAGCAACACTAATTATGTCCAGATACGGTAATAAGAGATTACAATTAGCAACACTTATCATGTCCATATACTGTAATCAGAGATTACAAATAGCAACACTAATCATGTCCAGATACTGTAATCAGAGATTACCAATAGCGACACTAATCATGTCCAGATATTGTAATCAGAGATTACAAATAGCAACACTAATCATGTCCAGATACTGTAATCAGAGATTACAATTAGCAACACTAATAATGTCCAGATACTGTAATCAGAGACTACAAATAGCAACACTAAACATGTCCAGATACTGTAATCAGAGATTACAAATAGCAACACTACATGTAATCATGTCCAGATACTGTAATCAGAGATTACAAATAGCAACACTACATGTAATCATGTCCAGATACTGTAATCAGAGATTACAAATAGCAACACTAATCATGTCCGGATACTGTAATCAGAGATTACAAGTAGCAACACTAATCATGTCCAGACACTGTAATCAGATATTACAAATAGCAACATTAATCATGTTCAGATATTACAAATAGCAACACTAAGCATGTCCAGATACTGTAATCAGAGATTACAAATAGCATTACTAATCATGTCCAGATACTGTAATCAGAGATTACAAAAAGCAACACTAATCATGTCCAGATACTGTATTCAGAGATTACAAAAAGCAACACTAATC